CCATGTGACATTCAGGGACCGCAAGTATGAAGTAGGGCGGCAACGTGACGACGACGGCTATTCGCGCAGTGACATTCCTGATTTCGTAGAAAAGAAATGAATAATTAAATAAGCTCCACCGCAAGCTTGCCCGGCAGAAATGTTTTTAAGCAAAAAGCCCGAGCGAAATTGTTTGAAAACGTCACTTTCGCCGTGACGATTTGAGCACGGTTTCAAAACGGAGCGCGATGAAAACGAAGTGCTTGGCGGCTTCGTGTGAACACAAACGCCGTTACTTTTTTGTACCGTTTGCAAACCAAGCATCTCAGGTCTCAAAACAGTAAATTCGAATGCTTTTCGTTTAAATTTCTTTGCTCTATTTAAGGTAAGGTAAGGTAAGGCAACTTTATTTATCCACGGTGTACTCGTCAGGATTAAGATTACATACATATATATCTCTCTCCTCCGCAGAGGCTTTAGTTTTCTTAGGATTTAATATTACGATGAGATATATTTCACTACACTTTACATGGCGGATCTTGAAACACGAGCGTAGCCGCTGGGCGAAGGAGCGCAGGCGGCAAAGGGAAAGGCGAAGGAAGGCGCGAAGTTCCCGCGCCGTAATACAAATTAATCCAAAATTTGCAAATTTCGCAGGGCTATATTTTCCGCATTTTACAACATTTCGCAACCAAATTTTGCAATTTTACTAATTTTAGCATGCTCTTTATAGCTATGGTGATGGATTTTGTTCTTCTTGCCTAGATCAAAATTTAGCCCATAGCTGGAATTGCCTATTATATATTTTAGTTTTTAAGAGCGGCATTGGATGCACCGACTGAAGTCAAACTACTTAAAGAATGGTTGGGGTATCAAAACCTTGCCTTGCTTGTCAGTTTTGAGGGAGGACAGCTTGTTACCAGGTAAATGTTGATACACATCTATCATGATACAGCAGACTTGTTGAATTTTTCTTTCAAGAATATAAACATTTTTAGACGCATATGGCGGTTGAGAAACACAAAATAATAGTTAAATATTGACAATTTGAATACAATTATCATCGATGCTGTAAAATTGACGCCATATTTTATGCAGCAATATAAGCAAAACTTACTGAACTTCAGACATCATTTTCTCTTTGGCGTACCATCTATAATCTATTCATTCTGGCATGATTTTACAGATAAGACACTAAACACACTTTTTAAGTTTGATTGCCGCTTGAGTAACGTATTAAAAATTTAAAAATTGAATATACTCATAACTTAGTAATGAGATGAATCTCTTTTCGTGTTTTCGAAATTATAATTTCAAACAATGATTTCTATAGGTATCCACTTGATGCCAAAGTAGAACCCGGTGCCCGCGCCAAGAAGTTCACGACGGCCGATGACGACATTCTCCGAGAGTTAGCGCTCACGTACTCGGAGCACTATCCCGACATGCATAGCGGTCATGGATGCAGTTCCAAAACTCCGACCCAGTTCCCCAGTGGGGTCACAAACGGTGCCGGATGGCGAGAACTTCCCTACAGCCTACAAGATTATGCCTACTTAGACCTAAATATCCTAACAATAACCCCACATATCCACTGTTGCCACTATGTAAGCGAAGCTGAACTACCAAAATTATATAAAGACAATGAACCCTCTCTCCTTGCGATGTTAGACAAAACCCGCCAAGCGGTCAAAGGTGATATTTCGGACAAATTACGGACACCACTTCGAAATTCCTATCTTGCAATTCATGGTCGAAATACTATCATAAATGTGACCAAAGATTACGGTAGCTTTTACCGAGTGTTACCCCAAGGACGATATAAACTTATCGCGCATGCGCCTGGATATTCGAGTGTCATCAAAGAGGTTGCCGTTGGTCCTGAAGTCAAAACCAGCGCACTGTTTAGTTTGAATAAGTTTGTGACGAATTACAAGTACCATAAACCGGGAGAAATTGAGGGATTACTCGGTGAACTTTCTAAACACTGTAGTGACGTCATGCGTTTGTACACCATTGGCAAAACAGTCGACGAACGATTGATACATGTCGTAGAGCTGTCTGATAATCCAGGTATTATTTTCAGTATAGTAATGTTATTATAGTAATACTGTTCAAGCATTCTTCTAAAAAATACGCCAAATGATACGAGTCACGAATGTATGTAGAAGTGTTTCCTCGTTTTACGAAAAGCAAAAATGGACCCCAGAATTGAAATTTCTATGGTCAAATTAGTTCATATCCAGAATTTCACGTTGTTTGGACAGTCCGGTCGCGAGTTATAACGCTTCGAATATTAGGTTTTTGGGTATAGATTTGACTGGAATTTGCTTCTGCAGTGACATAAAGAAACAAATTTTCAAAGTTTTATAATTCGCAACTTAACTGTCCAAACAACGACCTTTCGTGGATGACAAATTCAATTCTGTCGTCCATTTTTGCCAAATATAATGACAAAAATTTGACACACTATTAGTTGGATTGGAGAATTATCTCTGTCTTAAATTGGAGAATTGTCTATGTCGTAAAATCATAAACCTGAACTAAGCTAACTGTATACTCGTCTGACTTAATTCAAGGTATCCACGAACCTGGTGAGCCCGAATTTAAGTACGTTGCGGGCGTACACGGCAACGAGCGGGTTGGTCCAGAAATGTTACTTCTATTGGTGCGGTATTTATGTATGAATTATGGCAGTGATGACATCGTTACGAAGCTTGTGAATACGACAAGAATACATATACTACCCATGTTGAATGTCGACGGGGCGACAAAAGCCCGGGAGGGAGATTGTACCTCGGAGATTGGTCACCCCAATGCTAATGGCGTTGATTTGGATGATTTCTACCCAGGTGAGAACAGTTTATAATTTTCAGATTTGTTTCACCCAACCAGGGGCGAGACCGTTTTCTTGGACCGTTTTCGTGGTTTATGACTGAGATAGATAGTCTAATCTCATAATGGATCTCATTTTTTCTACAGGCAAATTTAACACCAAGAAATCACAGCCAGAAACATCGGCCATCATCAACTGGCTAGACAGTCACCAATTCGTCCTCTCCGCGACCCTTCACGGCGGTACCCTCCTTGCAACCTACCCCTTTGACTCGTCCCAGACTCCTAGTAATCACGGCGAGGCTGATGACGCAATCTTCCAACACCTCGCGTCCGGGTATGCAAAAGTACACCCCACGATGCATTATGGGCAACCTTCGTGCCCAGGCCTTGCCGTGAACGATAAATTTCCCAAAGGAATCGCGCCTGGATCAAAGTGGAAGTCCAAAATTAGTTCAATGAAGGATTATAATTATATGCAGAAGAATTGTTTCGAGGTCTCTATCTATTTGGGATGTTGTAAGTTTCCGTATGCCAATACGTTGCAGAACTTCTGGGCGGTGAATAAGAAGCCTTTGATTTACTACATGTATCAGGTAAGTGGAAAAAATTTTATGCGGCGGCATACAAAATTTTTTTGAAACAAAATTTTTCTACGGCGGTATACAAAATTGTTTTTAAACAAAATTTTTCTACGGCGGTATACATTTGCGCTATTCAAGCAAAAATTTTTTTAGAATGATTTGCAAAGAATCACAGCGCTCATATAGGTTTTTATTTTGAACCCAACAAGTTTCTAGCAAATAAGGATTATTTTATTGAAAATATCGATATCATTTCAAGGTCCATCGTGGAATCAAGGGATTCGTCATGGACGAAAATAACAAACCTCTCCCTGGGGCTACCATTAAAATAACTGGCCTGGTTCATACCGTCCGCTCGGGAAAGGACGGCGATTATTGGCGACTACTTACGGCCGGCTTATATCAAGTGACGGCTTCTGCCGAACACTACGAGAAGGTCACGAAGGAAGTCCGAGTAGCCGACGCTCTTAAAGCCACTGTTGTGAGCTTCCGATTAGCGAAAGGTAAACCCATTCCTAAAAAATCGATGTTGTTCTTCGGGATGAAACATTTGCCTTTGATAGCAATTGCGTGTCTAATTGGGATAATAGTAGCTCTAACGTTGTTTGGGCTCGTCCGGTTTTTGCGGCGACACGAAAGGCGGAAAGATTTTGCCAAACGGAACGGGCGAAATGCTTACAAAGATGAGTACGAAAGGGAGGTCGCTCTGAAATCGTTTAATTCGAAAGCGTTGCTAAGAAACGAGTACAGTGACGACAGCGAAGAAGATGAGTTGGAAGAATACGTTGTCCAAGGACGATCTTATAGGAAGTCGTAAATGTATCAATTATTTTTAAATTAAATCATGGAATTAATTAATATTTAATCAAAAACTGTGATACTATATATGTTAGCAAGGTTAGAGATTTCAGCGTAGCTGCAGGGTCTTGGGTAGAAGGTGATTTTGATGTATTGAAATAAATCACTAGGCTTAAACGAAAATTCAAACGCTGGTTTGTCGAGCAGCATGATCTCTTCCCAAAATTAAGGTTATGTCTTAATTGTCAAAAAGCGCTCAGATTAAGAAATTGCCTTAATTTGAACCCTATCTCTAACCTTAACCCCGACCCTTATCTGATCTTAATCTGATCCTAATCTAAATCTGACGAACTTTTCCCCTTCTTTTGGAAAGAGATCATGTTGTGTCGAGAAGATCTCGTAGTTTAAAAAGATTATTGTTGCTGCTTGAACAGCCTTTCGTTTACAATTATACTACAGTCTATCACAAAAAAAATAATGTAGTTTTGCCGAATTGTGCGCCGTGACTTATTTCAATACATCGAAATCATCCCGACTCGTCCCAGCATAGCGGGATCATGTAGAACAGCCCCTCAGAAATGCCAAACAACTTCATGGCTTTGAAATTTAAAAACAAATCAAGCAATAAATTTCTATTCTCGGGTTTTTCAATCACGTGATGTTTTAGCATATTACTCAAGTACACACGTAAAAATTTCACAACTTGTCAACAAGATGTGTTCGCAACAGGTTTGTAGCAAGCTTGTCAACAAGTTGTAACAATGCTGTTGTTTTATCAAGTTGCTACAAGCTTGTCACTCACAACTTGTTGACAAATTGTTGAATTGCAGGACGATAACAAGTTGTTGGAAAACTTGTAACAAGTCTGTTGAACTCAACAACCTTGTAGCAAGTTGTCAACAAGCTGGGAACAAGCAGTGCGAACACATCCTGTTCACAAGTTGTTGCAACAGCATTGCTACAAGTCAGCTGCAGGTTTGTTACAATTTGTACGTTTTTACGTGTGTAGGGGGGGGGGGGCAACCATTGAACTGAGGTCAACTAAAACACCGAAGACACAAAATAGCTGTCAACGCATCTTATGTAAATGCGTTCTCTGACTATTGTAAAAGCCAATGTAAACAATATAAAAGCTGTCCGTTACCCACAGACCCACTTGAGATGATGTGACGTCGAATAAACCCGAGAATAAATTTATTGAACCATAAATTTATTGAACCACAACAGGTTAGAAAGGACATCATGTGTTCCTTTTTAACGGTAATTTATAAGTAGCAATGACAGCCTAATGAAATGTGTATTATATAATAATATTATTTTCAATTCTGTAATCAAAGAATGAATAAAAGTGAAATTTTATCTTTTTAATGTACAAGTTAATACTAGATATCAATATGATATATTTAATATCATTTTTGTACACAACTTATTCAGTAAACCAGCTCTGTGTATCCGAACAACGTTTTAGTCGGCGGGATAAAACTAGCCTGTGAACACAGTCGAGACTCGACAGTAACGTCTGTTCACAGGCTAGGATAAAACCTCTTTCATTTTTTGCGAGTTTTAAGCCCCTTGGGAGCACACAATAAGTGAATAATATCGCCCGTAACAATGCGTGAATTGTTTTTACAAAACTTAACACAAGCCATTAACCCATGACTAACTTTATACCTATTTCTCCAACTCGATAATTCCATGCGCAAAAACCCAAAGGAAACAAGCACCGCAATGTTGTCTGATACAATGGTAATAATGTCCATAAATTAACTTGAATTTTTCTTTAAATACAAATCCGTTTGAGAAGTAATGTAAAAATGTATGTGAAAACACGGCTATAGCCAAGGATTATACATTATATCTACGCATCTATTCTACTGAGGCCGGTTGTACGAAGGTCGGATAGCGCTATCCATCGGATAGTGATTTTTTCAACCTTTGTAAAATGCTTGAAAAACTGTGAAACTGCGGATATAGACGAGACAAGAAGTATAAAAAACATTTAACTTATAAATACTAAACTTTAATACGAGTTATACCAATCAACGACTGATTTAACAAAGCTTGAAAAATCACTATCTGGTGGATAGCGCTATCCGGCCTTCGTACAACCGGCCCCAGGTATGTACAGATTGAAAATTTGAAATCCCGTCCACCATTGTATGTGATATTCACAATTTTCTACCTTCTTTTCTGTTCACCTGTGACTTTCGTATACTCCCAAAACTTTCCATATCTCTGCCCGTCTCTGCTCCCATTGATGTATACCCCTCCTCTAGAGACCGCTGTGCAGCCGGGCGTTGGCGCCCAGGCTTATCTATGTACACGTCATTATTAATGTCTATCCCATAAGCCTTCACTTCGGCTGGGGACAGTCCTTGCACTGAATCAACGAATTTCCCGATGCTGTTGGTGTCCACTGCGTCATAATTTGGCTCGTTGGACTCCATGGTGTTGTCTATTGACTTCGTTTCATCGTTTAGGCCGTTGTGAAACTCTTCGGACCCAGGAACCTAAAACGAGTTTTTGTTAAGCTCCAGTCAAACGAGATGTTGATGAGAGTTGCAATTCTCGCTCGCGTTTGACCACAACTCTCATCAACTCTCATGAATTGCACTCTCGTCAACATAGCGGTAATATCCTGTCAACTCTTATCAACTCCCATGCAACTCCTATTCTCGTTTGACCGGGTTGCCAACTCTCACTAACTCTCATTCTAGTTTATAATATCCAGTCAACTCTCATCAACTTTCATGGTTTTGTTTGACGAGGGCACGAGAGTTGAGAAAACTGTCATGCAAACTCTCACTTTTCTTCAACTCTCATTCTAGTTATAATATCCAGTCAACTATCATGCAACTCTTGTTTTCATTTGACCGGGCCATGAGAGTTGAAAGAACTCTCATGCAAACTCTCGCTTCTCAACTCTCATGCAACTCTTGTTCTCGTTTGACCAGGACACGAGAGTTGAGAAAACTCTCATGCAAACTCTCGCTTCTCAACTCTCAGTCTAGTTGATAATATCCAGTCAACTCTCATCAACTTTCATGTAAATCTTGTTCTCATTTGACCGGGCCATGAGAGTTGAGAAAACTCTGATGCAAACCCTCACTTCCCAACTCTCATTCTCGTTTGGTCAGGACTTTTCTCCCTTTTATTGGACGTTCTTTTTCTTATGTTCTTTGAAAAATATTTGTGATCTAACGTTCTGGTGTAATCAAATTAATTTGCATGATAAATTAATTTGCATGATAAATTAATTTGCATGATAAATTAATTTGCATGATTCGCATGATAAATTAATTTGCATTATTTGCATGATAAATTAATTTGCATGATAAATTAATTTGCAGATTTGCATGATAAATTAATTTGCAGATTTGCATGATAAATTAATTTGGATGATACCGCAAACCTTAGACGGATTTTCAGGGGGGGGGAGGTGAGCAAGCAGCAGTAGGGGTCTGAGCGGGGTACGGAGTGATGGGAGGAGGGTTGATGGAAAATTTTGCTAAACTAAAAATACACCTTTCCTTACCTTTCTTGATTTTGGCAATCCATAAGCAGCATTATTTTCTCCTCGTAAACCTTTAGGCATCCCTGTTTGTGCCTGATCTAACAGTTTATACATTTGTGTCTCTTTAGTCATCATAGACGAGTCGCCTTTTGAAAATGCTGAAGGTCCACTCCCGGGGATTTGACCCTGGAACCCGGACATTTGACCCTGGTTCCCTGGACCCGGTAATCTATTATCTGGCAGTGCTACATCCGACGAGAGACCATTCCCCGGTGGCGAGGTTCCTGCAGGCAATGTTTCAGGCAGCGAAGCACCCGGCGATATATTCCCAGGCAGCGTAATATCCGGGGATAAATTCCCCGGCAATGACATCCCATTTTGTCGTTGACTTCCGGCTGGCGATTTATTCCCAGGCCCTTTTAGCTTACTCTGTTGCGCGGCTATCAAACGAGCCTGCGATAGCTTGTCATCCATATCTCTTTCTTTCTCTAACAGCATCATGTCTTGCATGGCGGCTTCTTTTCCAGCAAAATCGCTTTTCAAATCATGTTCGTTAAACTTTCCATCCTTCAGTAATTCATTTATCTTTGACTCGTCAACTTCGGGCGGGGTCGTCGGCGATTTGCTCGGGTTATTCCGTGTCGAAGCCTCGGGCGACGTCTTTTGGCTATCCTGATAAGCTTTTATTAATTTGATTTTTTCGTTTTTACTCAAGTTACTTTTGGATAGTAAATTCATAGTGCCTGCGGTATCAGTGGGCTGCGATTCGCCGTCGAAAAACACGTGATCACCTTCGGGGGTTGCGGGAACATTGGGGAGGAATAGGGATGTTTTTGAGTTATCCGCTGTATTATGTGACTGCGGGCTCACTGGAGGACTCGCCCCAGATCCTTTTCCTGCAACGCGCAAGTTTTTCAACAGAGTGGAAGTATCGTAAGGTTTTGTTTCCATTGTCTCAGATTTTAACAGAAGTCCACCCTCCTTACTGGGGCCGTCAAATATTTCCTCTGTCCCCTTGTTCTGTTTTGTTTCCGCTGCCGTTTTTTCGTTCGATGGAACATGCCCGTTGCCCAAGGATTCCTTCACAATCTCCTTAACCAATTCTGCTACTTTCGGTGCAAGGTTATACGAGATATCAGGGTTTTGTTGTGGAGAGGTATGCGCAGCCTCTGTGGGTTTCTGAGCCTGAACACCTTGGGTTGCCAAACCAGATTCGGGCGTATTGCCTGCAAGCTGTTGAACTTGTGGAACGGAGTTTATTTGACCAGTTTTAGGACTGGTATCGAGTTTTGGACTGTCAGACCCAGTCCCCAACGCGACGACTTTGTTATCAACCCTAAACTGCGCATTCTTATCTTGTAAACTATTCTTGTGTTCAGGCAAACCTTTTTCGTCTCGTTTTAACTTATCTCCCGGCACCATGAGTGTGGACCCGGGTTGATCAATATCACGTAGGGGCATGCTGGGAGTATGGGCCATCCCCAAGGAATCTAGGGGAGCACCTGAAAGTGATATACGATTCGACATGCCTTCTAAAAATGCGGGATCTGATATTTTCTCCGTATCTTGACTCGCGCTGGTCTGTTGTTCGTTTTGTACATGGGTCAAAGCGCGGATGTCCTGTATTGCTGCGATTTTACCGTCAGGGTCGTTGGCCAGAGGTTTCAAGAGGTCCTCCCCTTTGGCGCTGTTTTGTGAGAGGAGGACATGTTCGGGAGGTGCGCCTTGACCGCCTGTGGTGGGTGTGTTTCCAGGGATGTTTGACACGGGGGTATCCGTTGGGTTGTTTGTTCCTACGCCAACAGGTACGATATCTCCAGCACCAGTCCTTTCTGCGATATCAATGTTATGCTCGTACTGTGTCAGGTCAGTTGGGTCAGTTGATGATGCCATCCGATCTACGGCACTTGATGGCGTCATTTCGACATCACTCGATGACGTCATTCCGGCTCCGTCACTTGGTGACGTCATACCATTGCCATTCAAGTTAGACACTTTATCTTCGCCGAGCAAAGATTGCGCCGCGACCTGAGAACTAGGCATAGTCATGCCGCTCGTTTCCAAACCTCCTCCGCCTCCACCACCACCACCACCACCACCACTAGAAACTGCTGAACTTGATTTTTGATCGTTTGAAGATGTTTGCTTTTCAATGAATTTCGCCTCTTGCGGACTTGTAGTTTCTTTCGTACCCTGGGAATTCACTTTCATTTGGACCTTCTGAAGTTTCGGCATCACTGAAGTTAGTTCCTCGATCACAGCTGTACCATTAGAGACGGTCGCCGCGTTTGCGCCCGATTTGTGCCCCATTGGTTCCGGCTTCGGCTGTGTTTTCACGACGTGAATAATTTGCGAAGGAATGTTCCTCATTGCGCCACGAATATAAGCATCAGCATCGGGTACTCTTTCTAAATTGCTAACCGCTTTAGGTGTTGTATTCTGTTGTAAGTTGACAACTGTTTTCTGTTTTGTAAATTTCGTGTTTACCAGCCGTTGTAAATTGTGGATATTCGGGACTTGTTGATTGTGTTTGGCTTTCATTATAATATGTACAGCAGGTTTATGGTTGTTATGCCTTTGTCTCATCTTATAATGAAGAACAGGTTTATGGTTCTTATGCCGTTGTCTCATCGTATAGTGTAGAACAGGTTTATGGTTCTTATGCCGTTCTCTCATCGTATAATGTAGAACAGGTTTACGATTCCTAAGCATTTGGTTAAATTTTTGTCTAACTTTCTTCATATGAAGGTGTGTTTGCCGATGTTTAGTGTTCTCCATGCCTGGATCGTCTCCATCTATAAGTTTTGCAGAATATTGCGGAACATCTGAATTTTCATCATCCGAAAGATTTTCATCGGATTCTGTGTCGTCTGCTTCTGCAGACAAAACTTGAGAATTGTGTGGGCCCGTGTTAGAACCTTGAGGAACACTTTGAGTAATTTTCGACGAATGGGTTTGTTTTACACCTTCTTCGTCTAAAAAATTATTCAACAAAGCTTTTCCATGCAGTTTTCTGGGCGACTTAGTTCCTAAATCATTTGCTGTTTCGTCCGTTGAGTTGGGATCTTCTTCTGGGCTTTCCACTACGGTTACATCGCTGGGGTTATCAAGTTCCGATGTCTTATCTCCTGTATTGATTCTCACATCTTGCTTCGTTCCGTCGTCATTTTGGTATGGCAACTCGGCTTGATCAGTCTTGACATGTTGCATCTCATTCTCCTCATTCTCCTCGTCATCCTCATCCATTTCTTTTCCATTCAATATTTCTCCATCGGTTTTAACATGTTCCTTCTCATTTTCATCTTTCATTACTTTTCCATTCAATATAGCTACATTGGTATTCACATGTTGCTTCTCATTTCCATCTTTCATTTCTTTCCCATTCAATATATCTGGATGCACTTGTTCATTCCCTTGTCCCGTTTCATCACCGACCTTTGTGTTACTTTCATAAGTGCTCTTTGGTGTTGGCCTTTGCTGCAATGCGTAACCTAGGCGCAGGTCTAGATGCCCGTTATTTTCTTTACCCGTAAAAGTTTGAACTGAATGCCTGTGTTGGTTTAGTCCATCGGACACATGCGCACCATTCGTTGTAGCTGCATTGAGATAATATTTTCCCGTTCTTTGAGTATTACCAATTTCGTGACCCAATCCACTGAAAGTTTTCCCATTCAATTGCTGGGAATGAAGAAGCTTCATTCTTTGTCTATCACGAGTATGCTGTAGCCTGCTAGCAATTTTATTATAACCAGCATGCTGAAATAACAAAGGTTTGTCCACACGATAGAAAATCTTCCGAGGTCCACCATTTTCAATGTTATGATTTTGGTTAACATTAAGTTTCACAGCTCCACCATTTTCAGTATTCGGGTTTTGGTTAGTGTTCTGCTGAACTTCATTTTGGCGAGCTTCATTTAAACTTTCATAATGTCCTTGCGAGTTTGGGTGAGGTACATTGTTAGGCTCGGGATTACGTTCTTTCATGAGTTTGTTAAGATTGTCTGATTGAAGAAAAGGTGTTTTATTTTTTGAAGATTTTTCTTCCGACACGTTTTCTTTGTCGTCTGCTTCGTCTTCGTCAGCCTCAGAATAGTCGTAGTCCTGGTCGTCGTAATCTGGATTTGTCACTTTGGGTTTCTTCTCGGGCTGGACGTCTTTTAGGTGATATGATTCAATCTTAGGCGTGTCATGTAGGTTACTTGTTACGTCGGTAACAGTGTTGAGGTTATCTTGGTTCATAGTGTTTGCAAGTTGGTTTGCCGCTTTGTTTACGTTTTGTTGACTTTGTTTACTCACGGGATTATCTTTGTTTGCCTGTTGTGTTTGTTGACTTTGTTTACTCACGGGATTATCTTTGTTTGCCTGTTGTGCTTGTTGACTTATAACGTCGGCTACATTCGTAATGACGTGACCATTAGGAAGTATTCCTTCAGTAGTGACATGGTCTTCTTTGGTATCTTGTCCCACATTAGCGACCTGGTCACCATTAGCAACCTGGCGTCCATGAGCAACATGGCCTTCATTAGCGACCTGGACATCATTAGCAACATGGCCTTCATTAGAAACATGGCCTTCATTAGCAACCTGACCATCATTAGCAACATGGCCTTCATTACCAACATGGCCTTCATTAGCAACCTGGCCTTCATTAGCAACATGGCCTTCATTGGCAACATGGCCTTCATTAGCAACCTGGCCTTCATTAGCAACATGGCCTTCATTGGCAACATGGCCTTCATTAGCAACCTGGCCTTCATTAGCAACGTGGCCTTCATTAGCAACATGGCCTTCATTAGCAACCTGGCCTTCATTAGCCGCCTGGCCTTCATTAGCAACCTGGCCTCCATTAGTAACCCGGCCTTCATTAGCAACATGGCCTTCATTAGCAACATGGCCATCATTAGCAACATGGCCTTCATTAGCAACATGGCCATCATTAGCAACATGGCCTTCATTAGCAACCTGGCCTCCGTTAGCAACGTGGCCTCCGTTAGTAAACTCCCCTTGTTTTTGATTGGGAATGACGTGTATGTTCTTGTCAACAATTTGCTCGATGTTGTCGTTCGGTCTCTTGCTGTTTTCACCTTTGTTTGCGAAATTACCGCCATTTTCCGGGTTACTCATAACTGTATTCTCCTGTGGATTGTTACCAGACACTTCGGAAACTTTATTATTGTCACTTAAGGAGTGGCTGTTTGACATCTGCTGGAGTTGTTCGTTGTGAACGTTTTGATCGTTATTTAGGTTGTTCTTGTCATTTAACTCGTGGACGTTGTTATTTTGTGCGGTATTTTCGTTGCCGACACTTGGTTTTGCCAGGTTGGTATTCATTTTATCAAAATCTCCAACCTTTTCTGGGTTAAATTCTTTTTGATTGCCGGATGCTAGATTCTTGTTATTGAAAGTATTATAGTTATTTTGTTTAGTTGGATTTAAGATCTCGGGGTTTTCTTTGTTGTTCATAATGTTGTTGTTGTTTTCCAAGTTGTTAACAAAATTTTCCTCCAGTTTTTTCATTTTCTCTCCAAAGTTTTTATTTTCACTGATAGCCTTGCCGTCCATGTATGCTTTCGCCATTTCTTTGAGATACCTGTTTCGTGAGGGATTTGTTACAGCAAGGTTAGACCCAGTTGGATTGGGGTTACCGTTGTTTGTTACTGCTGGGTTACCATTGTTGCCGTACATATTAATTTCTTGATTGTTGCCATTTGGAGTTTCCATGTTCGCTACGCCAGGATTTGTTACCGGAGGGTTACCGTTGTTTGTTGTTGCAGTGTTACCGCTGTTGTCGTACCTGTTACTTTCTTGGTTATAAGCAGTTGGTGTGTCCATATCTCCAACACTGTTGTCTTTTTCAATGCTAACACTTGGGTGTCCATTATTTTTTCCATGTTTATTGATATCAATAGTTATTTCTAGTTTACGTTTTTTCGTCCCACCTCCGTTTTCGTAATTATCAACATTTTCCTTATTCTCATATACCTTCTTTCCATTCACATCAACAAGCTGGAGTGAGGACAATAAATCACTAGCTTGATTTATTCCTGAACTAATCTCATCTTTAACCTCGCCATTCTCAGTTTCTCTTTCCAATTTCTCCTCGACTTCAATCCACTCGTTGATCTTATCATGAAGTTTCTTCAAATCCTCATCCGTCATTTTTTCTGCGTCCAAATTTGCCAGCGAAATCAAGTTCTTTCGAAAACTCTTTGGTCCGTGTCCGAGTAGGAACCGCTTTGTACCTCTTTCGACAGCGCTTTCCTCCTTTTTCACAATAATGTTCAAATTTTTAATTTTATTTTGAATAATATTTCTGAACTCATCGTTATTTTTGTGAGATATTTTTCTGTTTTTATTCCTACTCTCGTTCAATTCTGTCTCCTTTTTATTGAATACCCGTTTTTTGTTTCGATTTTCCTGTTTCGCCTGTTCCGATTTTTCTCGTGTTGCATGTTTTTTATCCGACTTTTCCTGTTCATCGTCCGGTTTTTCCTGTTCTCCATCTTGTTTTTCCAGTTCTCCATCTTGTTTTTCCAGTTCTTCATCTTGCTTTTTCGGTTCTTCATCTTGTTTTTCCAGTTCTTCATCCTGTTTTTCAGCTCGTTTTTCCCGTTTTTCTCGTCTAATCTGTTTCTCTAGCTTAGATTTCAGTCTCTTCAAATCAACATTCAAGTTATCACCGTCTCGCATCTTTAAAACTTTTAAAAGTTTATTCTTTAAAAGTTTAATCCTTAGTTCTTTGAGCTTTTTCAGATAATACTTTTTGTCATGTTTTCGATTGGATTTCGTTCCATCTTTGGAAGAAATATGAGCAACTTTTTTAGTTTCGGACAGTTTTTCTTGACTATCAGGTAATTTTTTGCCATCTTTTGGTACTTTTGACTTCATAAATGCGTTGCTATCTATTGCATTCGCCGCTTCAAAGACATTTCCAATGTTGTCATTGCCTTCCATACTTTTAACTTGACCTAATTTATTTCTTTTAATCAATTTCATCAGATTTTTTATCGCAACCAACGCTTCTTTTGCGCTGTGAACTTTAATTTTTCTTTCAATTTTAGGATCCCTTGTTGTTTTTATGAAATCTCGGATTTTCAACAAATCGCCTCGGTTCATTTTATAACGCAGCCTCAAACCGCTTGTACTTTCTTGGTGTTTTAAAACTCGTAATATATTATGTGCAATGGCTTCCAGTCGCGAAAAAACTATCGAATCTCTGTGAGTTGTCGTTTTTCGTGCCTCACCGGCAGTATTTCCCATATTTTTTGAAAAACTTTGAGGTGTTTCGGTTTTTGTTTTTTGAGCATTCGTGTTACCCGCACTTGGCAGTGATTTATTCCGTACAGTTCCCGCCTTTTTCGTTTCACCCAATCCAGAGCTTTCATGTTTACGGCTTTCTCCGAGCGATTTACGATCATGGTGCGACGTAATCCGATGTATGATGGCATCCAGGATTTTCTTAGTCGATTCCTTGTTATTTTTATCACTGGGCTGAATTTCCATGTTTTTGACATGGGAATTCTTTTCTAAATTAACAGCCTTAGATTTGGATGTTTTGGTTGTAGCCGAGGTGTGTTTAACACCTTCATTTTGAACGGCGGAGTTCGTTTTCTTTTGTGTTTTTGAATTTCTTTCGACATCTGAGGTTTCGACAGCAGTTTCTGGAATTTCAATTTCAACGTCTGTTGACAACAAATTTTCTATTTCTTCGACATTAACGTCGTTGAATTTCTCGCCCTCCAATTCGTTAATGACTTGTAGGTCTTCTTTGCGAATGTCTTGTGTTTTTCGCACGTCTGGCGAGCCTTGTTCAAGAAAGAAACATCTATTAAGACCCGTCAGTTACACTTGCAATTTTTGCAGCGACTTCTGGCGCGACTTTCTCCTTCTGATGCATGTGAACGAGTAGATGAGTTACGAATATTCGGAGTACGTATACCTCATTGATGTAGCCTCATCTGAACATTCATAACTTATCCACTCGTTCACATCCGTCACAAGAAGAAAATTGCACCCAAAATCGCAGCAAAAATTGTATGAACGAGCCTTTAGACAAGTTAGACATGATTTATACCCAAGCGTATAATTATGACCTATATCCAAGCGTACGTATTCGCACATGCGCAGAGACTGCATAGGTTCGGAGTTTTGTCGAACCTTTTTACGGTGAAACTTTTTAAAAATATTTTTTCTGTTCTTTCCCTAAATGCTTGCAGGAATTATTTTTCAAATTTCTTTGCATGTCTACCACCTTCTGGATCTGACACCTCCCCCCTCACCTCCACCCACCCTCCTTTTCCTCTCCAATGGTTCGCCCCTTACACATGTATGCACAGCCCTAATTACTACTTATCATACTCATTGTTTTAATGTATAAATGCCTATATATAGCTAGTAACAAATTGATAAAAGTTAGAATCGGAGCATTTATATTGAAATAGAACATGAATTAACTGCAAGTATACAATTTTTGCCAAAGAAGTTAATGCATTTTAAAATATCTTAAATGAAAAACACGAAGTAAGCTGTCGTGTTACAGCATAATGATTTTATGTCAATTTTTACTTATTTATACCTAGATGAGCATTTGTAATATTGTACAAGGCTTGCATATTTGGTTCAAGAAATACATGCACTTATATTATTAAAACGAGAGGCGAATTATATTGACTTTTGTGACTGAATTTATTCATGCGTAAAGTTTTAAACGGCAGTGAAGATTTCCTTTTTAACACAAACGTTTCCACACACAACATCGTCAACGATTTATTTGAAATCTCAAACTTTGAAAAGCACAACTATCATTAAACGCAAGCAATAACGATTCCTGATTTCCCGATCTATATTTATGTATATTTTGATGATTTTAATCATAAACCAGAATAACTACGCCTACAAATATGGCATGTGGCCTACCGTTAGCATTTGAAATAACAGCTCCGCAATTCAATGCCAGAAACAGCAAAACGGTACAGAAACAGGCCCGCATACTTGATTAAATTTTCCAGTTTAGGAAACCATTATCTAACTTTGGATTTTGTATATTTCGCCATTTTAAAATAATCTCTCGCTTGGGATGTTTTGATTTAAGCTCGTGCTGCCACCCGCAAAAACATCAGACATGTAACGGTCATTCATTAAAAATGAACAAGGAACTCGAACATAGTCGATCGTGACCCTTTAAGTGGCCATGTAACAAATCTGCATTAATTTATTCTGTCAGGATTTTGGGCATCTCACTGGATACAACTACATAATTGTTGAAACGATTTCTAGATGGAAATCTCGAGTGGAATTTTTATACATTTATTAGATCTAACCGGGAGCAGTTGTGGAAAATATTATTATAGGCCAACAATGGACCTATTCCCAAATGAACAAAATTTTGATCTAGACAAGTCTAGACAAACATTTCACGACAGCTTGAAAGGGCTTCACAAAATTAGCAATATTCCAAAGTTTCGTTGCGAAATATTGTAAAATGTGGATATTATAGCACTGCGATTCAGTCATTTTTGTATTACGCGCGGGAAATTTTCCGAAGTGGTAACCATTTCCCGTTTGTAATACAAAATGACTGAAACTTACAAATTTCGCAAGGCTATATTATCCGCATTTTACAACATTTCGCAACGAAACTTTGGAATATTACTAATTTTGTGATGCTTTTTCAAGCTGTGATGGAATTTTGTCTAGACTTGTTGAGATGAGAATTTTGATTAATATGGGATTGGTCCATTGGAGTTGCATTTTAGGAGACATAATAGAAAGAAAATCATGAAAGAATAAAACGAGTCCCAAACACTGATCACTTTTGTTTCAGAAAGAAAAAAGACAAAGCGTGATGATTAGGGGGAATATTAGAGGGGAATATTACAGGGAATTATTAAATATATTTCTCTAAAGAACAAAGGAGACCGAGTAATGTGAAAAATAAAGTAAGTAAGTGGGGTGTGCTAATCTTCCTTACTTGCAGCTGCAAGTTAAACTGAATTACGAAGAACGCAGCTCAATCTGATCCAGTCGAAGGATTACCAAGGACGCCTCTGGCAGCCACCGTATGACTCGTGTGTAATGACGGAGTACAGCTACGCCGTAGTACGGTGGAAGAATCAGCTTGGGGGCTAATCCTAACCCACCCTGTCAACATTCCCTGTGGGGGGAAAAAAATTGGCTGTCAAGCGTTGTTGCATTGCTCGCTCAAATATTCCATGAGTCGTTTAAATTTTAATATTGGACATCATCGTCTTGTAATTTGTAGCACTAAAACCAGATCTTAATCAGGGGCGGCGGAACGTGATATTTTTCTGGGGGGAAGGGCACATTTTCAAATAAAGTAACTACTTGTCCAACATTTCTGAAATATCTGGCGACCGTGGGAGGGGGTTAGCCCCGGGAACATGGAAATAATAAGAACGTGTGTAATGTTCTTGGTCTTCGGGGCATACAGGTTAGTACGGG